TTAGCTGATAATCAGATAAAGTGATGGGTGAGTATATAGCTCCTGTGGGCCAGAGGTGGATCCACCACAGGTGGATCCATGGATGGAAGTGGTATTTGGTAGAGACTCCCCACACTCCATAAAAAGATAGGTAGGAGGCTGAGGGAGAAGTCGGCACAGCCAGCCCAAGATGGGATTGATTGCCAGGGGCAAAGGCTCTGTGGAAGAGTGCCTCAGAGTTGGGGAGCAAGCCCTTCACAGTCACTGGAACATCCCCCGAGGTTACCAAGCCCAGATTAAAACCAGTTGCCATTAAGTCACTTCTGACCCCTGGTGACCCCATGTGTCACAATGTACCAAATGAGTAGGGCCTTCCTGCTTTTCCTATCTGGTTCCAACGATTCTAGTGGTTCTTTTAATAACTAACTATAAAATAATTTCAGTAAGTAATACAGATCTCATAGGGATTCTGCAGGGTGTGGTGTTGGAGTTCTTCTGAGTTTTTATTATCTCGTTTTGGAGGAAAAAAATAAAGAAGAAGAAGAGAAAGAAAATGAAGAGTTAAAACTAAAACCACCTCTGCTTATATGTCTTTGTGTGAACAGAGAGAGAGGTGAGGAAGGACACAAACCAGTTAACAATGGCCACACAAAGGGACAAATGGGCTATTTAAAATATTTTTCTTTATACACCTTTATATTATTTGTTCTTTTTTTTAAAAAAGTGTGGTTTACTTTTGTAATGTCATGAACTTGAACAAAGTAAACTTTAAAAACTCTTTCCTTTTTTGGAAAATAATGAGACAACTTTACTCTCATTGACTTTTGGTAAATAAAGTATTCACTTGCAGGAAATCGAGAAGTGCAGGAGTGGAGGTTGGCACCAGTGACACGGAGAGGAGGGGGCAGGGTAAAAGTATTCAAAGAGAGAAAGAGACAGGATTCTCCAATCCACTGCCATTAAGCCTGATATAAGCCATTTTGGATCCAACTCGATGGCAGTGAGTAAGCCATTTTGGAAAAACCCCTATGGGCCAAACCAAACCAAACCAAACCAAACTCACTGCAGTCCTGACTCATAGTGACCCCTCTTTGGGTTTCTGAGGTGGTATCTCTATGGAATTAGATTGCTCAACCTTCCTACCAAGGAGTGGCTAGTGGGTTTGAACCTTCAGCCTTGTGGTTAGCAGTCAAGTGCCTTAGGCACTATGCCGCCCCAGGATGGGGCATTTAAAGGGCAGAAAGGATCAGCACTACATGGAGGGATAGGAGGTCATATCCTGTGGCCTCTGGGAAGGCCTGGCTGTGGCCTTAACCCAGCTGATCATCCCCCTGACCTCTTTTCCCACAACGCCAGGTTGGACAATGAGAGAGGTAATTTGAGCCTGACCCTCTGAGATGCCAGATGCTGACACTGCCAGGCCCTGGTAAATGCACCCAGGAACTCACTTTTGACCCAGAACAGCTAAGCTGCAGAGAGCCACCTCCTTCCCCCTTTAGGATAGCATGGCGATATGGGAGACATGGCACAGGCTGGGCCTGTCAGCAGGTTATTTGGGAGTGGTAGGCTGGGGCCAGATCACGAAAGACATTATGGGGATGACCCCCACCCCTACTCCCAAAATCTTCCTGCTGCCCTACCACCTCCTCATATGCACACCTCCACCATGGCCTAGGATGACAGTGTAAGTAATTGACTTCTTAGATGTAGTCTCTGCACCTATGCCCATGCCTGGAACCCCCAACAGTGCTCTATAAATGCTGTCAAGTTACATTGACAGTTGTACAGTTTTCAGATCCAGCCTGAAAAGATTCTAGTCTGGGCTTTCCTAAGGCTCTTCAATCCCTTCTATGGTTTCTTATCAGATGTGGTGATTCTTGTTCTTGGCTCAAACCTATTCCTGTATTCAGTCATGTGTGTGTTCCTTCAGAAACATTAAACATCTCTTGCGTTCCAGATACTCTACTAGCTGCTAAGTTTGATAACACAGTAAATTATTAAGACACTCTCAGATAATCAGAGCCCCTTAGCAGGACAAGACCCCACAGATACTCTGGGTAAACCCTTCACTTGACCCAAGAGGCTACTGAGCTCCGTCGAGGGAACAGGACTTGACCATGGTAGAGGTCATATAGTAAAAGGCTGTTGTTTTTTAACTATACAGATAACACACAAATAAATTCTTGCTGCAATTTAATGACAATATAAATACAATTTAGAAAAGAAGGAAAAGAAAAATCAACTGTCATCCTAGTACCCTAATGTAATTTGGGGAAGATTTAGGAGAGAGCTATTCCAGGTAGAGAGGAAAGCAAATAGAAAAGCCTTGAGGCAGATATGAGCTTGGTGTGTTCAGGAACAGTGAAGGCAGTGTAGCTGGGGAAGCAGTGTTCTGCAGGATGTCAGCAGGTCTCACGCTGGGCATCTTTGTGGGTGTCCATCCAGCTCACAAGCCAACAGCCTTCCTTTCCAAACAACTACCTTCCATACCCACCCCCACAAACATACTGACACAGGAGGGGGATGAGGCGTGGACCTGGTGTGTGTGTTGGGAGGTGGTAGTGGCAGATATAATCAGATTATCTCTCCTAGGAATTGCAACAGGGGTAACTGTAAGGTCAGCGGTTCAAACCCACCAGCCACTCCTCAGGAGAAAAGACCTGGAGATCTGCCCCTGTAAAGATTACAGCCTAGAAAACCCAATGGGAACTTCTACTCTGTCCTATAGAGTTGCTATGAGTCAGAATCTACTCAATAGCACAAAACAACCACAAAGGTCAAGACAATCCCTAGGTGGTCCACTGAGAGGTGCCTCAGTAGAATGGCCTGGTGATCTACTTCCTAAAATCATCCATGCAGTCAGGTCTACTCTGACACACATGTGGTTGTTATAAGCCAGAATCGACTCAATGGCAACTAATATTTGCTAAGGTCAAGCCAGTCTCTCCAGGTTGGGGAAATCTGTACCCTGTGATCCTAGAATCTGTGAGGGAAGGTACTGCGTTCTCCACTTCAGTCAGAGAGAGCAGAGGCAGGTCAGCAGGGGAAGAGTAAGGGATGAGGAGCTGAGTCCTGATGGTTAAAAACTCCTGGTCCATCCATCTTAGCAGCTAGCTGCATTCCTGCCTCAGGTTCCTTGAGAGATCCCTAAACCCTGAGCACGCATCCCCCTTTCTTTGGCTTACACTGACTTGGGCCAACCATTACAGAAGTGTTTTGAGAAAAGAGATTCTTTGGCCAAATAATCTGGGAAAACAAGGTTAAACAAAATTTAACAGTTTTTTTTTTTTTTTTTTTTAAATCTGTAGGACTTCTTTTCAAAGCCCTTAATAACAGGATTGTGTCATGTGACTCTCCAAGAAGGAACTAGACTGAGCAGTATTTCCTACTATGATTTGACTCAGGGAGCACTGGAAAATGCTAGTGTAACAGTATGCTAAATTGGAAGTTTTGGCTGAGTCCTGGAAGGCCAAGAATAATAGAGGAAGGGCCAAATATTCTGACCACCAGGAACACATGTGCAGTTGCAAAAACCTTGCAGTGAGCAATTTTATCCAGTAAGGAGAAGGATAAATCCAGAGAGAGAGCTGAAGGGACAGAGGAAAAGAGAACACAGTTATCTTCTGCTTGTTGTCCATCCACCTGGACTTTCAGTAAAACCACTGCAGGAATAACGAATCCTTCTGAATCATTTCCTGACACTTACCAACTCAAAAAAAAAAAAAAAAAAAAAAAAGTCACATTTCGGTAATGGATGTGCCCGTTCATGTGAGCTGCCTACAATGTATGCTATCCACAAGACGATTCACTATCTGAACTTGGAGAGTCAGAGCTCCACCCGCTGTGATCATTCAGAAAGGGTGAAATGAATAAATAAATAGATAGATAAATAAATAAATAAATAAATAAATAAGGGCTTCACCACTAACCGCAAATACTCCAGGGTTTGCTCTTCATTTCTTTTGTCATTCACCTGCCACTTACTGTGTTAGGTGCCCCAGAGATGAGCAGGAGCCCTCGCCGATGGGAGCTCCCGGTCTGATGAAGCAGGGAGAGATCCCAGCTGATACCCCACCCAAAGGGTGGGAAGTACCAGGCAGAGAGAATTTTGGCGTACAGGAACAGCCCTGAGCTCGGCGGGGCTAGGCTAGCATAGAGGAGGAGCAGCGTTATAGGGATCTAGAGGCTAGTTGGTGTAGTGGTTAGGGCACTTTGATTGCTAACCAAAAGGTCGGTAATTCTAACTCCACTAGCCGCTCTGCAGTAGAAAGAGGTAGTCTGCTTCTTAAAGACTGGAGTTTGCTTCTTTAAAGATTGGCAGTGTTTGAAACCCAATAAGAGGTCGACTCAATGGCAGTGAGTTTGGTTTTGGTTTTTTGAGGAGCCAGTTGGAGAGTTCAAACGCAGAGCCCCGCCCACCCTTGGAGGCTAGAGAGGCAGGCTGAGCCGGTCCGTGAAGGGCTTCGAATGACCAGCTAAGAGTCTAAACGAAACTGAATATTATTGTACACTAGTGGTAAGAAACAGGTTTTAGGTGATGTTTATCCACGACCAGCCAGCTGACCACATCCTTTGATGAGCCATAATCCGCCTGGGGCGGCACTGGTTCACAACAGTGTCTGCTCTGGTTTGGGCGACTGCGCCCGGCTGGCAGACGCCTGCGCGGGATGCTGGGATCCGACGGTGCCCTAGTCGGCCCGTTCCTCTCTAGAGTCAGGCAGGTCCGGAGCCAGGGCCTGGTGCCGCCTCCTGTCACCTGGGCTACTCCCTGGGGGCGGAGACATCCGGAACTGCGGGCCCCACCCGAAGAACAGCTCCTTGGTCGCCCAGCGCGTTCAGTGCATTCCCAGGCCCGGCGCCCCAGTGCACCACTGAGAACTCGCAGCGCTGAGTGGAGAGAGCGCTGCGAACCTGGCAGGAGCTGAGGCGGGTCTTGTGATTGGACAGATGTGCTCGGGCGTCCGGGTGCGTGGACCAATTTCGGGTGAAGCTCTTGGAAACAGCAAGAAAGCTGCCGCGAGATGCACGCGGAAGAACCAGTCGCCCCTGGTGCCCCAGCTGCCGCCGGTGGCCAGGGATCCCAGCAGGCGCCCGGCCCGGAACCGCGTCTGTCCAGCCAGTTGCTGCCGGAGCTTTACACTTTCGTGGCGCGCGTGCTGTTCTACTTGGCACCTGTCTACCTCGCCGGCTACCTGGGGCTCAGCATAACCTGGTTACTGATCGGCGCCTTTCTGTGGATGTGGTGGCGCAAGAACCGCCACGGGAAGCTCGGACGCCTGGCTGCAGCCTTCGAATTCCTAGACAACGAACGGCAGATCATCAGCCGCGAGCTGCTGGGGCAGCACCTGCCGGCCTGGGTGAGCGCAGCTGGGACGGGCGGGGACGGAGGGGCGCCGAGGCCTGTACAGTTGCAGAAGGAATCTGCGGTCGGCCCGAGAACCTGGGCGCGCAAACCTGAGGGAGGATGGGAGCCCCACGACGGGCACGCCAGGTCCCCCGCCGTTCCCGGCGCACTGACCCTGCGAGCTGTGGCCGTGCGGCTCGCCGCGGCGCCCCTCACTTAACCCTCTTCCCCACCTATGGTCCAGCTTCCCTGGGAGAGGGGGACCTGGGATTCAGTGAAGGGCCACAGATCCTGCGAAGAAATTAAGAGCATGCCACACCCAGGGAGAAACAAGGGCGTACGGGGTGTGCAAACTTACTGGTAAGGGAAACAGCACCCGCCTGCTGACTCCAAGAAACAACCCAGAGTGCAAAACTTTCAACAACAAATCAGCAATGACAGAAAAAGGGCTCTGGTTCCCTTCCGCTGAGGCAGGGACAGAGAATGGGGACAGAAGCAGGGTTAGGAGCGCAGAGGGGCGGGGCTCGGAACGGGAAGGCTGGGACAGAGCTGAGTGAGGGAAGAGGCCCTAGCTGTGTTCCCTCTGTAACAAGCTTCTTTTCCACCCTCCCCGGGTTACTCAGACATGCGCAGGCGCACACACTAGCGCCAAACCTATGTCTCGGTGTAGAATGGCCTAGACTAGGGTTTCTCAAACGCTTCTGTTCTGAGAATCTCTTGGCTCACTTGCTTAAATAAGCAGGTTCCCAAGCCCCACCCCAGACTTCCTGGGATCAGTGCCTCCCAGAGTGGGACCAAGCACTCTGGGTTATTTTATTTTATTGTGATTTGGATGAAAGTTTACAGAGCAAATTCACTTTCCATATAGCAGTTCACATATTTTGTCTCATGACATTGACTACAATTTATCACAATGCAACAGCTCCCCTCCCACCTCTTCCCCCCAGTTACCTCTTCCCTGTGTCCTTCCCCCCATGCACCCCTGCCCCCTGAGCTATGTCCCTGTGCACACACAGCTCTTCTATTCTCCCATGATTGTTCTCTCCAAGGAGTGTATCTACCTAGTGTAAATGTTCACCTCATATGCCTGTCTTTTGTTTGGCTGGAAGCTACAGGTGTGGGTTCAATTCCAGACCTAAAGGGCAGGTAGGGGCCATAATCTCAGTGGTTGCATCAGGCTCTGTCAGACCAGCCAACCTGGTCCTTTTTTTTTTTTCCCCCCAAATGATTTTGAGTTTTGTTGCACATATTCTCTCACTCTATCCAGGATCTTCTACATAGATCCCCCTCTGAGTGGTTGACAGTGGTAGCTGGGCACCATCTAGTTCTTCTGGTCTCATAGTTGTATAGGCTGAGGATTGCATGGTGTACCAGTTGCTTGGACTAATTGTTTCCATGAATCTTTGGTTTTCTTCATTCTTCTGTGCTCTGGATGAGGAGAGACCCATCATTGCATCTAGATGGCCGTTTGCAAGCCTTTAAGATCACCCTGGGTTATTATGATCAGGGGAGTTTGAGAAACACTGGCAAGTGTGGGATTCGGTCCATTTCCAAGGGTTGGTCTGTGGGAAACCTGCCCCTCTGGGTACTGGGAGTTCCAGCTTCTTAGCTTTTCTCCAGATACACTCAGGCCCACAGGGGGAAATGCTCAGAGGCCTCCAGACCTCTCATTTATACTGACCTGTGACCTTTACTCTAAAATCCAGTCGGGTCAGAGATCCTCTACACCTGCCCATAGCATTAGCCTCCAACGTGGGGGTGTGAGAGAATAAAATATTAGAATGGCCTATTTTATATTAAACAAAGGAAACTTATGCCTTACAGTTTGGGGGCACAGTGGTTAAAGCATTCAGCTGCTAACCAAAAGGTCAGTGGTTCAAACCCATCAGCTGCTCCATGGAAGAAAGATGTGATAGTCTGCTTCCTAAAGATTTACAGCTTTGGAAACCCTATGGGGCAATTCCACTCTGTCCTATAGGGTTGCTATGAATCAGAATCGTTTTGATGGCAGTGGGTTTGGTTCTTTAGTAATATTTACTATGCAGTCCCTGGGTAGTACAAATGATTAATGACTCCACTGCAGCTCAGCTGCTAATGGAAAGATTGGTGTTTTGAGTCCATTTTGAAGTACCTCAGAAGAACGGCCTGGTGATCTACTTCCAAAAAAGCAGCCATTGAAAACCCCACGGAGCACAGTTCTACTCATGCATGTGGGGTTGCCATGAGTTGGGATGAACCCAATAGCAACTGGTTAATATCTAATATGTAAATTGACATTAAGGCTTTGTAAATAGGTACACACGTATTGAAGATGAGAGGCCACAGACTTGTACTGATAAGAGTACACAGTCCCAGACCCACTGCCGTCAAATCGATTTCAAGTCAAAGCAACTGCGTAGGACAAAGTAGAACTGCCCAGAGGGCTTCCAAGGCTATAAATCTTTAAAGAAGCAAACTGCCACATCTTTCTGCCTTGGGGCAGATGGTGGGTTTGAACAGCTGACCTTTCAGTTAACAGCCAAGCACTTAACCACTGTACCACCAGGGCTCCTTGAGTACACAATAATTATTAAAAAAAACAAAACAAAACATAGTGACCACTTTCTTTGTGTAGCAGCTGTGGTGCAGATGGGGGTGGGGTGGGCAGTGTTTGGTGCTAGTCTCCCTCAGACTTTCGTTGTCCTAGTTGTTCCGTGGTGATTGTTATCATGAAAGGCGTGGACCCGAGAATAGGTTGAACCAGTTGACACCCTTTGCTCAGACAGAAGGCAGCAGATACATAACAGGCAATTGCTGTAGAAGTCCTGGGAAAACTGGAGACAGGAGTCTGAACAGGATCCGGTCAGGGGTCCAAGGCTTGTAGTGAAGGAGACCCTACCTGGTTTGCAGATCAGTGGCTTCCAGATCATAACCTCCTGACTCCTTGGCTTTCTGGCTGCCTTGGCTGACTAGCTTGGAGAAACAGGTTTTGGACTGAGTGGTGCAAAGGGCACTCTAGGCAGTGGGAGCCCTGTGAGCAAAAGCATGGAGGTATGGTATGGCTGGCACATGAGAGCACCCTGTGGTTTGGCTGGCTGAAGTACAGGGGGTGTGGTAGTGGTTGCTGAACAGAGGCCAGATTGAGGAGGCTTGATCAAGGTTGGGCCTGATTCTGAAGGCTGCCAGTAGCCTGTGGAGGATTTTGCAGAAAGTAGAGAGTGAAGGAGGAATGAGGCTGGAGGAGACATCAGTTGGGAGACCTACTGAAAGTATGAGCCAAGATGATAGCAGCGAGGACCAAAAGGAGGGGATGAGAGATGTGCAGAAGTGGGGGACTCTAGACACTTGGCAGCTTCTAAAGTGGGAGTGAGGGAGGGATCCAGGGGTCTTCCAGGTTACTTTCTGGTTTGAAGAGTTGGGTGCTCATTCTGTGATATGGAATCCAGCACTAGAAGCAGGTTTGGGAGGTTGGTTGTTTATGTGAACACCTGTGAAGTGTGCACACATAAATGCAAATATGGGCTTTTAGACCAGCCTCATGCATGTTTCCAAGCCTAGGGATGATGTAGAGACGCTGGTGCCTGCTTGGGTGAATATTTTTCTCCCTTCTGCTCTCTGCCTCCCTGGGAACACATGGTTTATGTAGACAAAAGAATGACATGGCCCTGGGTGTGATGGGGACAGTGCTGCCAGATGAATGGATGAATGAGTCTTTATCATCACATGTGGGCCTTTCACCATGCCTTCTTCCCTGTTTTGAGCACTGATTTCCTTTGATGGGAGAGATGATTATAACCTCCATTGGTATTAAGATATATTTTTATAAATTAACAGATGTCATATCAGTAGTGGGTGGACTGAAGAAAAGTTGAGGATCTTGAGGGCCTCATGTGTGGCTACCAGACTCAGGCCTGCCTTGGACAGTTGTGCAAGTTGCACTTTATACAGTAGCACCCAGTGAGGGGTGTGGCTATACAGCCCACCTCCTGCTCACTAACCTGTGGGCTAGGGGCTGTGTTCACTTGGAAAGGGTACCTTTTTCTAATTTGCCCCAAGTTTCTGTGAAGAGAGGTTCTGAGAAAGTAGAAGCCAAGGTTAGGCTAAGCTGGAGCAGAGGGGCGCTCACTGTCCTTTGCCATGCCTTGGCAGACATTATTAGTCAGTTATCCATCCAGCAGTTCTCTCCTGCCCTTAGACTCCTCTCAGCCCATTGCTCCAGGCTGCTGCATTGAGGTGATCACAGAAATATTCAGGGATGGGGATTATGCACAGCATAGTAACAAGAGTGTGGGTCCTTGACACTACAGAGCTAGGTGAAATCTCTGTCTCACTACACATTGAGCTATGGACCTCAGATAAATCACAAAACCTCTCAGTTTCCATGTGTAGACAGCAGGATGATATTATTTGCTGTGTGAGTTGTAGTGAGGTTGTATTTGTAAAACTGCTTACACAGAGCCAAGTACAAATGAGTGCCCTGTGGGGGTGTCACTTTATTCTCCTCAATTTTCCAGGCCTTCTAATTCTACCTTTTTCTGATATAAAATTAATGACCAAGTGTCCCAGCAACAAATATGCTTTGTTGGTCCCTGGTTGACTGCAGAGGGGTAGAGCAAGTCAGAGGAATGTGGAGATGAATCAGTGAAACTCTACCCTGTTCCCCAGGACCTGATGCCTTTGTTGTTGTTGTTGTTAGGTGCTGTTGAGTCGACTCCGACTCATAGCAATCCTTTGTACAACAGAACGAAACACTGCCTGGTCCTATGCCATCCTCATAATTCTTGCTATGCTTGAGCCCATTGTTGCAGGCACTGTGTCAGTCCATGTCCTTAAGGGTCTTCTCCTTTTTCTCTAACCTTCCACTTTACCAAGCATGATTTACTTCTCCAGGGAATGGTCCCTTCTGACAACATGACCAAAGTAGGTGAGACGAAGTCTGGCCATTCTCGCTTCCAAAGAGCATTCCAGCTGCACTTCTTCCAAGACCTCTTTGTTTGTTTTTCTGGCAGTCCAATATCAGTATTCTTTGCCAAC